CGCAGGCACCCTCGTGTTTTATTCTAGTATTCTTCCTTCTCTGGCAGCTCGCCTGTCTCAGATGACATTGATTCGTATACGTCACGTCGTCGGAGCCGCAAACCTGTGCGAAATTTGACGGACAATTCGTTGGACACTGGCACAAAGCTTTACCGTTCTCGGATACGACGCACGTAGCGCCCCAAGCGCAATAAGTCTTCTCGCAGGGTTCTGAAAAAAAAGCAAGAAAGAAGCTATAGTTGGACCGGATATTCGACTTGTCGCAAAGTAATCGCAGAGATATAGATAAACGTAATTTCCTTTATTTCCTTCCTCGCGCTATTATATTTATATTCCTTGACGCAATTCAAATAATTCTTTCTTCAAACAAAAAAATATTTTTCGTTATTCGTCGTTCGTTATTCGGTAGTAAGTTCATATAGGTACTTATTATTTCATTTTCATCGCTTCAAACTTTAAATTTCAAACGCGTATGAAGCATCGTTAATCCAGCAACGCGAATCGATAATTAAGAAAAGTTACTTAAAATATTAATTAATCCATCCACTTTTCGATGGTTGGAAAAAAAAGACAGATTATCGAACCCGTCCACCCGAAGCTTCTCTCCCTTCTTTTTCTTGACGCTAAACCACCAATGGCAGTGGCCATACTTCTCAACGTCTCAACTTTTCAACTTTTTTTCTCTCTCTTGTGCGCGCGCGCGCGCACTTGTTCCTTCGTTCTTTCCCTTTTTTTCACGTAGCTCGCCCAACATAGAACAGGTTCGCAGGAGCACAATCAATTTTCCAAGAAAGTTGGTACGAATGGGGCAGAGAGAGAGAGAGAGAGAGAGAGAGAGAGAAGCTTCGCTTTGAGAAACCTCGTCGGATAATCCATGCGCTCCACGATCATTAATATAGCAGACGAGTTGATCCCCGCGAGCGGTGAAAAAAATCGTCCAGCTCATGCCAACCTAGGAGGTCAATCGCTTTTTTCACAGTTACGGATAGACGAAAAGGGCTCTTTTTTCCTATCTTCTTTCTTTTGCTTTCTCGCTCCAACGTCGGCTTCTCTCGTAGAGAAGAGGATCGTTGTTGAACGACGTGTCGGTGGAGGGTGTCACCGAAAGAGACCGATAAAGACCCGTTTTTCCTCTCCGACTTCTCTTCCTAGTTCTCTTCGTCGAAGGAGAAACGTCGTTCATGATTTTTGAGAGACTCCACGACTCTCGTTACTTTGACCGATATCGAAAGAAAGGCCGACTCTCCTCTTCTCATTCGTCACTCTCCTACGAGTCTTCCCTCAGAGACTTTTTTTTTTATCTCTTTTTCGAAAGCTTTATACACTCTCTTCGTTCTCTCGATTCTCTCGATTACGATAATCTGCGGACCTTTTGAATTTCTACATCTACCTACGTTAAAAGGATTAAACGTCGTAATTTAAGTATAAGGTATATAGTAGCCGCTCGAAATATTACTCTATTACGTAGGACTTCGTATCTACCGATCTACTTTACGTCGCATCATCGTTCTCGTCGCATATGCAAATAAAGTCCGATCTCGGTGTGTTTACTCACGGTCGGCATTTACGGAGAATTTTCCAGACAAATTGTCAACGGCGAAAAGCTATCTCATACGCGCGTACGTTACGAGCTTTGCTTCGGTTTACAGCGAATATTTGCTTTTGACGTGTCACTGCCAATTACACTTTTTACCATATGAGCCTATCGATCGAACCCACGCGATCGTTTCGTTAATATATACTCACACGAGAATTTCACGCTCCAAAGAAATCTATTTCCCGTAAACATAGGCTAATTTTGGGCGCGCGTCGTCCCTATATGTAAATTCGGCGCGTTTTACGGCAAGAGAACAAAGAGAAAAGGGAAATTATTTTTTTTCCTAATGACGTTTTGCCTATACGAATAAAAAATTGCTCAGGCTCGAAAAAAAAAACAAGAAATATGTAGGAGGAATGGGAGGGAGGGAGCAGGACAGGTCTCGCGATTCTATTATAAAATAATATATAAATAATCGAAAAATGTTCGACGGGGGGTTCTTCTTCTATACGCCGATGCAATCGCCCTTATATATTTCACGTAGTTTATAAAAAGGTGGTTAGGGGGACCGGACACACTTTATACCGTGTTACGATAAACAGGACTACGTTAAGTAGTAACCTGCAGCTTATATAGCCGGTTAACGTTGGGAGGGTCAATGCTCCGACGCGATTCGATCCCTATCCTATATAGTTCGTTCGCGTTAACCCGCTGCTCTACTCTCCTTGTTTAGATTTCTCCGCGTTTATCGATCTTCGCGCGTCGCCTTGCTTCGAAAGCTTACGTTTCTTTTCAAAAGCAATTATTTTAATTGCGACTACCGGACGACATCGACGAGTTCGTGATAAAAGGAGAAAGAAAAAGATTTACTATTGAAGGCATATAATATTACGACTCTCTATGTACGACGTAAAATATCTCATTTTTGATGAATACTAATGCAGGAAAAAAGGAAGGAATTAAAGATTTGCAAAGAATGTCACGGCAGAATCGCAAACACGCGTCCCAAGTGATCTACCCGGCAAAGTTAATCAATATCAAATAGCACCGAATCCATTTCAAATAGCGACAATACATTTTTTAACGCACAGCGACCACTTTGATGCCGAACGTTCGATATATTTCGTTCATGAACGAACGAAATAGCGTAAAAGCTCGGTCGACCATGTGTGGCTGCTGGTTGACAATGAGCAGCTCGTATTCGAGTCATTCAAAAACATAGCATAAATATTCACCGAGCTATGAAATGGACACATTTAATTATAATCGAATCAGCAAATTGAGCAGAGATTGGTAGTTATTAAAAAGTTTTTTCTCTCTCTCTCTCTCTCTCTCTCTCTCTCTCTCTCTCTCTCTGTCGTTTCGCCGAACAATGTTTCATCATTTTTTAATCAAATAAAACTAACGGACGCGATAGAAACATAAATTCTGAGGCAGTGAGGGAAATTAAATTACACGGGCAAGCGTACTCCGGTTTTATGATGCTTGCTTACGTCAGCATATGTCGTAAACGCGACAGGAAGGAGAAGGACATGGGAGCGTTACGAGGCTATTACTTTTTCGTTAGCGTTTTTCTTTAAGTTCGCACATTGTAAAAGAAGAAACGAGGAAGATGAAGTCGCAGACGCGAACAAGCTCGTTCTTCATCCGACGATCGTAATACCGGCCATTACCTGTACAAGGAGAGTGTATGACCCAACTTGCCCTCTTCGGGAGCAAGTCGTTTCAAACGCGATTACCTCAGGTGTACCTTAGATATATATCGCCACCTATCGCCTCGAAGAGATCTTCTTTCTTATCCTCGAAACGTATGATTACATATACGTATGAAAAGCAAGAAAATACATCTCTTCCTTCGAAATAACTCGGCACGGATGGAGGAATCAGATATTTCCGTGTCCGTTCCGTTAAGCCGAATCTAGGATGTTCCAATCGTGTCCCCAGGCACAAGAAACCCTCTCCTCTCCTCTTTTTCTCCATTTCTCTCTTCCAAAATAACCCCTCGAAAATGAATTGGGGATATGTGGGTTAAAGGTCAGAAATACAGATCCCTGTCAAAACGGAGCCGTTATTAATACTTTTCACGTATAATCCCGTCAGCGTACACGACCCCTGGGAGAAGGGTCTCGGAAAGAAAGAAAAGAAAGGAAAAAAGGTCCGTGAAAATCCTCTGGTCAGTCATGTCCCAGAGGACAGTGTCAATAGACTCATTTAGTTTTTAAGGAAGGATCGTCTATGATCGCGTCATTTATATTAATAACGTGCGAGCTCGACGAATTTATTCGTAAAATAAGGTCAATGGAAAATTTTCCTTTGAGAAAGCGCACCCATTAAACTCAACGTATAGATAACTGACGGTTAAACGATAAGAATGCATTGATAAAAGGTATTACCTACTCCGTGTAAGCAAACAATTCATGTACAATTAATTATTTAAGTACGATGCGGAAGAAAGTAATCGTTAATAGTAAGTAAGAATGAAAGATTCGATTAGAGATTAGAGTTTGCGCAGTTCGACTTCCGCTTTCTTGATTGTTCTCTCATCAATCATAATCCGTCTTGATCGTTGATTCGAGAAAGTAGTTACCTATCGTCGTTGTCACGAAGATAAGTAACTACGACAGTCCAGGTAAATATTTAGTAAATGTAACCTTTTCAGGGAAAAGAACCTTATTCCTTTGGTTTACACGAATTATCTCTCTCATTTGACATGGCTTCCACGCTAATACCTTCTTCGACTTTTTATAATAGTAGAGATCAATACGAATAAAAAATATAGCCATAGTCCCTTAAGAGGATTTATATTTCAACGACGCGTCCTGGAATTTTACAAAAATTTTTCCTAAAGAGCCAATCGACCGTGTTTTGCTTTAGCATCACGGTCCATATAAGTACGTTATAATAAAGAAATGAAAGCAATGGTATAACCCATTTTTTCCCAATTCATTAACGGTAATAATAGTTTTTACGAACAGACATTCTCGATGAACTTTCTCCAGAAATTTATATCTTTTCGGTAAGATATTGGTGAATTTGAACGTAATGGAATTGAAATCGATCGAGAAGATTTAAATTTTCAAATCGATATCGATTGAAATTATCGAACTTTTCGATAATATGTCGTCCCTTTCGTAGTACCACGTGGCCAATTGCTTTTGCGAGTAAGAAGCCGTCCTACGAAATTCAATGATGAAAAGGTATACCCCCGACGTCCGAAGGAAGCTCTAGGAGAGGTAAGTACGACGTTGATAATAGATGGGAACGATGGAAGCGGGTATCTGCGCCGAGTTAAGAAAGCCGAGAATAAAACTCAATTAACTAGAATTCCAGGAAACGCTGTTAAGCGCGATGCGTACTGAATACCGAACTTGGCCATGCTGTTAAATTGGAAATACTAGCTGCCTATATTTTTTCTCTCTTCTTTTACTCCACATCTTTTTCAAGTTTCTTTTCGACTGTGGCGTTCCATCTAGTGGCATTTTTTGTAAAAAGCTAAAAAACTCGTGCAAACTTCTTATAGACTTTGCCATTTGCCCTAACGAGACTGTCAAATTGTTACTTCAACGTAACGAAGAAAAATGTTTTTCGTTCGTTCGAAAAACATTTTAACGCTTTTCGTTGGAAAAAGCAGAATTGGATACGGTTATAGTATCCATTTTGCATCGATGCAATA